TGTGTGTGTGTGTGTGTGTGTGTGTGTGTGTGTTACAGCAAAACAAACAGTCCATGGACTTTCATCAGAGATTCAGACAAAGAATCATCATTCGGCTAACATGAACATAAGCTGTTTAAGTGTCTCCCCACCTAAAAACTGTGAGGTCTGTAAGTATTTGAACAAAGACAAAATTTTTGCAGCTTTGGCCTCTTTACAACTCAAAGAAGATATGATTCAAGTGTAGACTTTCAGTTTTATTTTCAAAGCGTTTAACAAAAGTGTTGCATTAACTGTTTATGGATTACAGTCAGTCAGAGTCCAAATTAATTGGATGGCCAGGTGAAGCCTGTTCCCTCGTTATTCCATAACAAAATAGCAGATAAAAGATCAGTAGTTGATGTCCCATTTGGTATCTGTATATTGGAATTATGGGTAAGAGATAAATAGAGATGTCAGTGCAAGTGAAGGAGAAAGCTGAAAAAGTAAAATAAACCAATTAGAGAAACAGCAAAAACTTTAGAAGTGACCAAACAATCTGACACATACTTAGAAAAGCCAAAATGCCTCAAAGACCACAGAAGACAACTAAAATGTTTCATGACAGAACTACTTTCAACATCTAACCGAGCAACAAGAACACTCCTTTGGAAGGGAGGTGCATCATCGCCACAGTCTAGTCTGACAGAAACAGCAGGATGAACTGTGACATGTACAGGACCAGAGCCTCTGCTCAGATCTAGCTGAAAACTGACCAGATGGTACTTCACAGTGAAGACAGTTAATGACTCAAAGCAGACTGCAAAAGCATCCCAAGAGTTTGTCAAGGAAAATAAATATCAACTGATCTCTTTCCAAAAGAGCATTTTAGTTACTGAAGGAAGAGAGTCCCTCGAACAAGCAGGAACTGAAGCTGGCTGCAGCAGAGGCCGAGGAGAGCATCTCATGGTGGGAAACGTAGCATTTCATGATCTCCATAGATTCCTTAAATCCTTCTTTTTTTTTCCAATTTATTTCCAGTCTCTAAAAATGGATGACTGTGAATAAATATGGCTGTGAATTCTAAATAGTTAACGCAGCACTTTTGTTGAACCTATTAAAATGACCCTGAAAGTCTGCACTTCAATCACATCCCGGTTGTTTGATTTTAAATCCTCTGTGATGGTGTATGGAAGCAAAACGACAACAGAAAACGATGTCTTTGTCCAACAAATAATGGCCCTAACTGTACTCTCCTACCACAAAGGCATTTATCTAGTGGGCGATTCTCTCAGATGTCTTGTTTGGTTAAACATAATACAAAATATATTTATCAGATATGACTCAGCACTACACCAACTCTCGTTAAATCACTCCCGTCAACACATTTCTGATAGCTTTGTAACGGCAACAATGATGTCAAACTGATTGCTCTGGAGTTTTTGCCCACCTGAGTCACATTCACACAAAAGCTTACTTCCACATAGGATATCATCAGGAATAAGTAACAGAAAAACAAAGAAAAAAAAAAAACAATAACTGATCACACCTCATTTTTGAGAAGTTAACAAGAGCAATTACTTTCAAATTTGTGAGAGTTGTTTTATCCCATAACTAAATTAAATGAACAAAACAAACACCTGATCATTCTATTACCAAAAGAGATGCTGATTAATTTTCAGTCAGATCCACCAGCTGACCAATCGACTATTTGCTGTGGCTCTAAGGAAAGCCACAATCTAAAACCATTCAATGGCAAACTCAATGAGGGCCTCAACTGGAGTGCAGATACTGAAGCGGGATGGTGTAAGGACAGTTTGTCAAAGCTCTCATGTCACTGTGCTGGCCACAGTGAGCCATCTCATTCATGTTACTCAGACAACTTAGGTTACCCAAGGACAAGGTCATGCAAGTACGACTCTAGGAGCCACGAAAGGCTGATTAATATTTTCCAGGACATGCGCTGGTTCATGTTTTTTTATATTACTTATTCTTTCATTTGCTAAAATGGCTTAAAAGAGGACTCTTTTTACTTCAGAGTGCAAGTTAACTTGAAGTACTTAATTCTGGAGAAATAAATCTAGTGTAGTGCTGATTCTTAACCATCATCAGTCATCATCGTGTTGTTTGCACCGCAGTCCTAAACAATCCTGCTGAGAAGGGTTAATGTCATTATCACATCCAGTGTGCAGGACGAACTTGATTCTTTTAACATTTAAAAGGTTCAGACAGCCCGGCTCTCTGGGACACTTTCTTAGACACAGCATGCAGACCCTGCCTTCATCTAACCTGAGTTCAAGGCCACTGCAGTGTGTGCAGTATGAGCTTAGAAACACCCTGTTAGGTAAGTTACTACAGCTGACACTGGATATGCAGAATTATCAGTACATTCCACAAATCTGGGTGGTGCAAGCTGCTTTTATGTTCCCACCAGCGTAGCAACAGTGATCTGGGTGACAAGATTCATCTTATACTGAAAGTGGAACTGAAATGAGCTCTTACATTGACTGTCCAGAGGGGAAACCCACCATCACCACCACTGAATGTTACCACAGGACGCTCAGATTTACTGTACATGAACTGGTTCATATCCATGTGGATGTGATGCCAGCATGAAACCTGACACTCGTGGCTGCACCCAAAGACCCCCAAGAACTGGAACAAGGGGTATGAGGACTCTGCATAACAAAAAGCAGCAGAGATTTAAAAAAAAAAAAAAAAAAAAAAACACCTGGCAGCTTCTACTAAAACCAGACGAGAGGAGTAAAAAGTGCCATCACGCTGAGAGACATCCCTGCTCATTGCATGACAGATGGGTCACACCACACGAAGCATCAAACTGCTGGAAAAGCATGTATTGTAATTTAATCCCGTTAATCTGCATGCTGATAATCCCCAACACCCACACAATCCTCTGTTGCTGGTTAATTACAGCAATATTAGCACTACAGTTTTCCTTGATTGCTGCTCGGTGCTCACTTTGAGCGAGGTCCTGGTTTGGGTGAGGGGTAATTAACACGCCGTGAAAACAACTCAACAGCCACTAAACACACATCAACAAAGCGCCCTGCAAATACACCACCCGCACTTCACAGCTAATCTGTTTTTCTGTCCGCGAAGTAGGACAGAAAACAGCAAGCGCAAGAGGAGTGGCCGGACTTCAGCTGCAAAGTACTGGCTTTTTTATATATCCATACTTAAAAAATAAGTCTTTTAGTTTAGGGGAACCAGGCGAGAGGAGGAATACCATCTCCCTCTCTTTCCTCTTGTCCCGTTACTTTACCTTGTTGAAGGCGAAAAGCTCCTGTTTTATCTTCTCTCTCTGCGGGTCGGTGCCCTGCCGACGAAACCTAAACTTCATCATCCTCAAGCCGGTCACGGGGAAGGCAGGACCGAGGGGACAGAGAGGGTAACACGGAGGTATCAACCCGAGCTTCTCGGCGGGACTAGAGGCGGTTCGGCGCAGTCGGAAGATGCTAAGCTAGCTAACGGACTAGCCCATGCAGGCTGAAAGCGGGGGTACAACACTACTGCCTCTGCTGCGGCTCTCCTCCCTCCTCTCCCTCCTGGTGCTGTTTAGGTCCTGGTGGGTTTGACCACAGCAGCCCCCCCTCCCCTCCTCTTCCCAGTTCACACGGATCCCGTTATTGGTAACCAATAGGGACGAGGAAATCTGTGAGCAATTACTCAGCAACGCCTACACAACCAAGGGCTCGCGAGACGGATGCTCGGTTTGTAGCACAGGGTACACCGGCGGTATGTCCCAGCTGCTTGAGTTTGTACACTGCGGCAACTGGGAGTTCCTTTAAACAAAATGGAACGGCCAGAGATTAAATAGCCAATAACGGCTAACTTTTCTCACTCGAAACTGTGGAGAAAATGTAAATATTTTACCTTAACTATTGCAAATTTGTTTTTTTAAGATGTCAAAAACTGGGTTTAAGATAAATAATGGAAGCAGACAGATTCAATCATGTTTGAAGGACTACTTCAAACATGATTATACGTCCTGTTTAGGAAGAAAAACATGAAAAGAATGGTAACTCTGACCATTAATTGAAGGTTATATTTAGCATATATTTTATTTTAATTATATTTTACTAGTTGTTTTCTTTTAGTAGTATTGTATTCACCAATGATTTTCCATACTCTTTAATTCCACCTAACTCATATACATTGCTGTGTATTTGCTAAAAAATAAGAAAGTACTCACACACCACTACTGTTATACTAAAGCTTTAATTTATTATTCACATGCAATAGTTATGTAAAACTGCTATTTGCAAAAAAAATTAATTGTAAAAATAAAATATTTAAGTTAGTGCAAACTCTTAGTGATGTGGCCTCAAAGCTTATGTGCCAAAAAGACTTTGCCCCTTGGCAAAGCAGAGAATAAGAGATGTGTCAGAAAAAGTTATTTATCCTATCAAACCAAAAGTTTCCATTAATGTCAAAACCAAGATGAGGTTATAAGGGTTTGTTTGTTATACAGCAATAAAGTGGCGCCACCATTACACTAAATTAATGTTGTCCCAAGAACAAAGCAAATCATGCTATTCTTCTAAAGAGGGGGCATGAAAACAAGGAGACATTAACCCTTATAGTTATATTGGACAAGATCTTAAACATTTCTGGATGATTATGTAAAACTATAAACATTAAAGATTAAGGCATTCATTCAAGTTTCTCCTAAAACTAGAATGTGACTGACATGAATGACATTTTATGTGCCAAATCATTCATTAAGAAAACAGCTGATCAATTAAGAAAAAACAAAATTTTCATGGCCATAATGGAAAAGCACTTTTTCAAAATCATCACAATAAACAAGTTATCAACTTACATAACAGTGCCTTTACATACAAAAATAACCTGTCTTACGAATAGAGGTAGAGTACATTTTTAAGGCATAAACTGTGATTTCTATGTATATGTCATCCTCGTGTTTGTGCTATAGCAGGGTGATTTCACTTGGTGGCAATGTGAGTCTCTTCTCTCTGACTGACAGCATGTTCTCCACGTGCATGGCGATGACTCGGCACAGCTCCAGGCCCTGGAAAACATCATATAGACCCTTAAAGAAACAACACTGGACTTAAGATGAAGAGTGAATATAGACTGCACAGTGGTACAGTTAGGGGCAAAAGGGGCAAAAGTTTGTGGACACTTTTTCCTTTTGTAATTTTGCTTGTGTACACCATCAGAGTGAATTTTAAATTAATCAATATTTGATTGAAGTCCAGACTTTCAGATTGATGCAGATTCAAACTGCAGATTATAACACATTCACTGCAAAAGCAACCCAAAAGTTTCTCAAGGCAAAGAAATGGGATATCTTTCTGAAACCAATAAAGCATGCTCTTCAGTTTTCAAATGCAAAACTGAAGGCAGAGACCCACAAATAAGCAGCAACTGAATGTGGTTGGAGTAAAAGCCTGGGGGAGCATCTCAAGAGAGAAAACCAAGCATTTGGTGATGACCCTGGGTTGTAGACTTCAAGCTGTCGTTGACTGCGAAAGATTTTCGCAAATGGGGTACTGCGTATAAAAATCACTTTAATTCCTTAAAAGTTGATGCAACACTTTCATTAAACACCTTGAATTAAAGCTAAAAGTCTGCACCTCAGTCACATGTTGATTGCAGAAATGCGTCACTGTAAATACAGACACTGTTACACACACACATCTAAATCTTCCATCTATGTCTTATACACCCACCTGCTCCAGCTGCAGCTGTGTGACACGCTGGTTAAGCAAGTCTCCTATCATGATCTCCACATATGGGTAACTGGAGCCAGATGTTGGCCTCTGAGTGCGAGTTGATTGAATCTCCTTCAGAGGAAAACGCACCATAGTCTCCTAATCACACACAAACACACCAATGTGCATATAAATAGACATTCAGGGGACACACAGAAATAAAATATAAAATTAAATATCTCGAGTTTTAAAAGTTATATTTCCTCTTCCATAGATTTTTTTTTTTATTTGTAATTTAGATTTTATTAAAAAATGATGGATGGGAGAGCCAGTAAACACCATAACCAAGAGAGGGAGCCAAAAGCTTTGTTTAAATATAATAAAATTCCTGCCTTTTTTGTATTTTTAAATCACAATAGATCAGTAAAAGGGTAAAATGCTTGTTTGACTCACATGTGTGTCCTTGTTAAGAAAATGGAGCCCGTTCAGATTAACAGCCAGGATGCATGGGGCGTGGACGGAGGAAGAGCCAGAACTCTGGATGTAGAAGAAGGAGGAGCCAAACATGGGGAAGGCACTGACCAGACCTGGGCAAAAACACACCAAAGCTCACTTCTGATAAGCTGCCGCATTCAAATTGCGAGGTAAAGATGTTTACAGAAAATGTCGTGACAAATCAGCATGCTTTTGAACATTTTCTTTCCCACTGGTCCAACAAAAATGCTCTAAGAAGACACCTTGCTGCACTCATATCAACTTAGAACTGCTATTTGGGATCAGAATAAGCCTTTTTTTTTGTTTACCAGATGTTTCAGATGTTTATCCTAATAGAATTGTGACAGAATATGCAATGGGCTTTGCTATTAACAATACAAAAGTTATTAATATTATAGGACATATGTAAAAGTTAAATGGCCAAATTGTGAGTATCTTTCACACTCACAAAGAACTGTTGTCTTACCAAGGAACTGCGCACGGGCCTGGTGTGGGTTTAAGGGCTGGACCTGCTGCATGTGTTGTGTTGTCATGTTCAGCCACTGCTGTGAACCTTGTTTGCTGTAGAACTGTGGAGGGATACACTCCTGCACCTCACGGCTAACACACACGCACACACAAAGAGTGAACAAGGTGTAATTGAGAGACAGCAGATCAAATTATACATGTGCATGTTAGGTGTATTTTTCTGTGCAAGTCGACAATGTGCAAAGCAGAGTATGGTGGCCTGGAGAGGTCACAAAGACTGCAGCATAAGAAAAGGCCAGAAAAATACAAAAATGCTACAAAAGCACATAAAAAAACACAAAAATACACAATGGAATTAAAAAAGAAACACACAACAGATGTAAAGCAAAAATAAAAAATAAAAAGATAAATAGCACAGTGGAAGTTGAAAAAAAAAAAGCTCCCAAAACACAACAGAAGTGGTTTTTTTAGCAGAAAATCTTACAGAACAGCTGTGGAAATGAGAGAAACAGAGACATCCAAAGGATTAGACTGAGACACAGAACCTGAGGATTTGTAGCTGTTGTGAGGAAGTAAAGGTGTAATTGGATGATACATATAACACTGTAGATGAATGTTTTATATTAGTTGTTCAACATACCATGTAATGGTCTAACCTGATGAATTTTCATTGTCTTTTGTGTGCTTTTGGAACATTTTTCTATTTGTGTTCTTTTACGTTGCAGTACGTTTGACCTCTCAGGGATACCGTACATTCTCTTCTACCACTGCTTCTCCAATCTGTAGGTTTCCCCAAGGTTCAGCCCTGGGTCTACTATAATTGTCTTACTACATTTTAAAGAGCGTTGTTATATAAAACCCTTAGGTAACTAACTTAGTCCCTGGATGCAGCAGCAACCTTCTCAGCCCTTTATGATATAGCCACAATATCAGAAATAGTAGAAAAGGGATATCTGGGCAAAATGTGCTCTTCTGTAAGTCAGCCATGTCTTACTGTTTGGAAAAAATTAAGCTACTAAAAGTCTCAATCACTGGTTTCTTTAAATAACTTTAATTTAAATCACTTTGAATCAATTTAATTCCTAAAAAGTGAATGGAACACTTTCATTAAACCGTTCGAATTAAAGCTAAAAGTCTGCACTTCAGTCACATGTTGATTGCATAGATATGATTAGATATGATGGGTGACAAAAAATCAACATAAACCTACCTTTAATTTTCACTTGTATCACTAGTAACTTGCCCAAAAGTAATTGATATGCTAGTGTGAGTTGGTACATTAGCATGCAAAAGGTTTCCAACAACAAATGGATATATTTACAGGGTGGGGAGGTAGATGGTGTCTTTGGCACGATGCTGTAGGGCAGCCAGCCTGGTAATCTGCTGCAGATGCTGTTCACTGGGCTTACCCTGAGGAACCACACTCAGCAAGGCTTTCAGGTAGTCTGGCAACACCTTCAAAAGAGATGCACAATGTGCATTAGTCCGTCTTGTTTCTATGACAAATATCAACTGATGAGAAGACGAAACAAGATGTACTTCTATGCACACCGCCCGACCACAAAAAAAAAACCCTCATCAGGTGGTGATGACGTATGTGGCCACAAAAAAAAAAAGGGTCAGCTATCCAATGAAATATTAGGATGTGACATATATTTAGCACGTGTGCTAAAATTTCAGGACTGCTTCAATCTACAACTCTGTGAAATGAGATTTATACCTGGTTATAGTGCATGGTGACATAGAGTTCATTGTCAAGTTTGAGAGCTAGACTCCATATAACCCTTCTGAACCAAAGACTGTAGTTGGCATCCACAGGCTCGGCCTCTGTAGCGATGTCCAGGATGTACTCTCGCTTGTTCAGGGGACGTACATTCTGACCTACACAGAAAGACACTTTAGTAACCATCCATTATCCAAAACGTGTCACAATATCTAACTCGGCAAAAGGAAATGTTAGCCTTTTAGAGCTCCACTAAAACAAGAGATCCTTGTTACCCTTGTGTGTGACCAGAAAGACGGCATGTTCATCCAGTGCCTCCATTCTTTGGAGTCCCATCTCAAAGCAAAGCTCCTCGATTACATCCAAAGCAACCTGATAAGGAAAAAGCAAATCTGCCACTACAGGCTACAAATTCGGCATCTGTGTTTTACATTTAGAGACTGCAGCCATTCTGTGTGTGTGTGTGTGTGCGTGTTTTCCACTCACAGAGCATGTCTTGATTTTTAAGTGCCTTTCGATGCCACCTGGGAGCAGGAACAGCTGTCTCTTGGAGCTACGCCCGGCCTGTACACAGACAACAAATCAGAGGGAAACGTCACACACTGCTATCCACAGCTGTTACTGAGAAGTCATGTAGCAAAGTCACATCTGAACATGACAGACAGACACCACAATATGAAAGATATCGCTGTAGATTAATTAGCACGCCCTGATCTACCTGATAAAGGAGACTATACAGGACTATCCCGATTGTTTTTCCGTATTTTTAAACACCTGTTGACACTTTCAGTCAATAAATGTTAGCAATTCCTACAATTTTGACATATTTCAAGCCACAAAGGAACACCGTGTAGCTTATTTACAAACTAACCATCATTGCTTTGAGTTCCATGTTGTTGGGATACTGCACACGCCCGCCATACTGAAAAGTCCTCCTCAGATTCTGCTCGCATGCCTTGGCAATACCTGTCAATTGGAAGAGAAGCTAGTAAACACTTTAGACCAGTGAAGATCAAAAGAGATGGACCGATGAACACGATGCCCACCTTGGTATTGCAAACCAGGGCTGGCACATGCATCCTGGAGAAACGTCAACAGAAACGGCTTCATAACATCAGAGCAGCGATGGAAAGATGTGAGAATATACATCAGCCGCCATCCTCTCTGACAGCTGTCCCTGCACACAGAGAAGCGCGCACACAGCCACAAGTTAAAGCCTCTCCACGCTCATGTCACCGCTCTTTAAGAACAAGCGAGCGCTGGAAGCCTTACGGTTTGGAGCTGGTGTTGACAGTAACTTGTTTCATCACTTGACAGTAGGCTTCATCCTTCATCAGGCCATGGTCACCACTTAACTAGATTTATTTAAGCACATGCATGAAGAAAAACATAAAATCACACACACAGACCTCGTCTTAGTATTACGATGGATAGACAATTTGCTGATGTAAGCATACCTTTAATATAGTGGTGACCAGGTCCTGCTCGGTCTGGCCTTTCATTGGGAAGTCTCCCATAAACTTCATTATAGCTGGGCAAAAGAAACAGAAGGAGCTGGACCACATCTTTTCGAATGTATTTAGTTTAAAGCACATTAATGCTTTTATACTAAAAATAAACTAAAAATAAACACAAAGAAACACGAAATATATGCGTATTTTATGCTGCTATCTTCTGCTTCAACCTCCTATGTTTCTTTTCGTTTCCACACTCTGCTCTCACCTAAGAAGATGTCAGCAGCCACTCGGTTCATCCCACTGTCTGAGAAGTCGATCAGTGACTCCTGGATTGGAGACTAGAAAGAGAAACAAGATGTTAAACCAGAACACGATGGCAAGAAAAACATTTTAGATGTCTGTGCACAGGCACAGAGACACATATCCTACATATTTGAACACAGAGACATGATTGTGATTTGAATTACCTTGGAGAATTTGACCATGTCAGCAGGATCCCTGGGCTCCTTCCCCTTTTTCACTTTCTGATCACTGTGGGGAAAAGCAGACAATCAACTCTTGGTTATTTATTTATCACTGTAAGTGCAAATTTTAGCTTTACACTGAACCCTTCTAACTCTTTTTTGTTTTTGACACTGCACATGTGTGTGTCTGACCTCCTGTTCCTCTGTGCTTCTCTGAAGTACTTCTTGGCAAACTCAACCATGTGGTACTGGCCGCTGTGCAGAGGCAGGTCGTCCAGTTCAACACCCAGGCTGTCTCCATAGATCTCATTCACTACCTGAGACACACACAAATCCACAGCATGAAGAGCAAAAGCAAGAGTGCCACTTACTGGGAGCACCAACAGTGTAATTATCTAAAAAATATTTCCATTTCTGCTAACCAAAGCATTCCAATGTATGCTGTATAAACACTGGCTAATACCATAATGTAAGGGTGCTATTCATGTTGAGCTCTGTAGGTTACACTAGCCTTTAACCTATTATTCTGACAGTGGGAAGCTTGAAAAAGCAGGAAAAAAAAGAGTAAAAAAATGCAGTTAGGACCTCGGTAGAGAGGTCGAGCTCATGAGCAGCTACAGCTGAGCCCATCGCAACGGCAACAGCAGCAGAGGCAGCGACTCGTCCCTGCCGGTCTCGGGGCTCCACGCGTTCAGGAGGCAGGACCAAGAAGTCCGGAGCAGCCACAGGACGGATGAACTCGCTGGGGAACACTCCAGACTTTCCATACACAGCGCCGAACCGCCAGCCTACACGCATGCACACACACAAAATAAGTAAAAGGTTGCACACAAAATAAAGACTCTTCAATGTCTTCAATATTTTGCGTCACACAACCAACATAAATAAATTCCAAAATGTTAGAAGAAAGCCACACGCACCAAACTCAGCGGTGTTTCTCTTTAGCTCCTCCAGAAGCATGACCTTCTTCCTCACAATGCAGCCATAACGTTTACCTGAGATACAACCACACAATGAAATGGGCACTGTGAAATAATTCAGAGGCAGAACGCAGATCTATCACTGTGACAATTTTCAGTGTTGGATTGTTCCTGTATCTCACCGGCCTCCAGTCCATCCATGTGCTGGAGTCTGATGATGTCGCCTTTGTGGAAGTTGAGCTGAGTCCTGTCCTCAGTGATGTAGTTCCTCACTGCCACCACATACTCTGAGTCCTGACAAAGACAGGGCATGCTGACATCTCCTGATCACATCTCCATAAGTAAAAAATAAAGAAATAAAGGTAGTGATATTTTATAGTTAAAGTGCTATATAATACAGTACTGTATAAAAGTCTTAAGCCACACTTCATGGTTTTGTATTTTACAAGGAATCATCAGGCGAGCTTTGTTTAAGTAATCTGCAGCTCCAAACCATGACGGAGCCTCCACCATGCTTTAGATGGCTGGAGACGCTCAGTGTTGTACATCTCTCCCGACCTCCTCCTCCGTACATACTGATGATGATTTGAACCGATCATTTGAACTGTGGATTCATCAGTGCATAACACCTGTTGTCACTGACTTTTAGTCCACTTCTTGGGTTATTTGGCACACTTCAGTCTTTTCTCCCCGTTTCCGTTCCTTAAGAATGGCTTCCACTCAGACCATTTCTGATGAGGTCACGTGTCAGGACACACTGCACACCATACACCCAGGTTTCAGCTAGCAGCTCTTTGGGAAGGACCTGTTTGGTGTAAAATTGCTAATTGCTATTTCATGTCTGTTGTCTTTGGAATTTTTTGAAGATTCAGCTCCAGAAATGGGGATATTTTTTTTACAGGCTGCTAGAAACAAAGTGCCTGTTTTTTTTGTTGTTGTTGTTGTTGTTTTTGCTAAGTTTTGTGTCACATGTACACAAAATACGGGCTTATCCTTTGACTCAGGCGCCTGTTTTGGTGCTCGAATGATTCAGAGGTCAGTTTTAAGTGGCTTAACAAACAAAACAAAAATTCCTCTGAAAATGGTCAGATACAAGGACTGAAAATGAGGGAAAAAGAAGAAAATGTCCAAAGAAAAACTGTAAAATAGAAAGAAAGAAAAGTAATGCTCAAAACCACTTTAAAAAATACAAGAAAGTCTGGCTTCTTGGAAGCAAAATATAAAAAAAAAGATTTTTGCACATAATTTTAAGACACTGAAAACTGAGCCAATTTCACACGTGGATAAAGACCATTACACACCCTGTGAACGCGCTTAGATGTCAATGTTATGGCATCAGTTTAAATTTGGATTACACCTAAAATTTCATTTTTTTAAAGTAAAAAAAAAATTAGAAAGTTAATAAAAAAAACACTTGTTACCCTCAAAACACAACAAATTCCGATTGTAATCAAAGAGGACATGCATACATATATTAAAAAAGGATTATATGAGACTTTTTTTTACACAGTAATGTTATCTAATTTAATTGTGCCTATCAGTGTGCATTATAAAAACTCATCCATTCATAATTCACACTTCGTCACACGCAGACACTGACAACATTCCTCTGACCTTCTTAAGCTCTGTGAGGAAGTAGTCGATCATATGCTTGACGTGCGGGGCTTTGGCGGAGAACAAGATCAGCTTCTCATTAGTCAGGTTGAACTCAAGCATGTTCTTAGATGGAATAGACACAAACAGGATGTCTGAATAGCTGCAAAGGAAGTGATATGCCAAACCAGGAAGTCAACTTAAAGTCATAGTTCAAAGCAATCAGGCATTTGACATGTATACCCAGAAAGTTAAATAAGATCTATGGCCAGATCTTCTTTTTAGCATCTGATTTGTGTTTTTAAAACAAGAAAATGCATTTAAAACAATCTAACTTACAGGGTTTTTTAACAGGAATATGTTGTATGAGACTCACCTGTAAGGCCTCAGCACTCTGAAGTAGTCTGAAGCAGAAGAGCTGCTCTTCACCATCTTCAGCAGCTTGATACCTTTATGAGACACAGACAACACCTGCACACCTGTCCCGACACTGCCCTGGAAAACACACACAACCATATACACACACCACAATATAAACACATGAAACTATTTATTAATTCAGTTTATCTATGCCAAGCAAAACAACAGCTCACAGAGGCTGGAAAGAGGCGAGAGAAGTAGATCTCCCATTCGTCTCTAGCCACGGTGACCACCTTCTTCTTCACGTTCTCATTGTATGTTCCTGAAACCTGATCCACCCTGTTCTCCGCTGTCACAGAAACAGAGGATCAGTAAAGGTTTGAACTCCTGAGAGCCAACAGAGAGCGTCACATAGATGCAAGTAAGTCATAAACCTTAAAGCATGCATGCTAGTTTCATCATACCCAACAGGTCTTTCATCTTCTGTCTCTCCTCCTGCGTGATACGTATGCAAGCCTCAGAAAAGGTGTCATGTACAATCTGGGAAGACACAGCCAGGAATAGGAATGTGCTAATGGGAAACACTTGGAATGAAAAATAACTACATCATAGACACTATTTTAGCATTTTAATATTAATGAATGATGACCATCTGAACTACTGCCATAATTACTGTTAACTAGACCAGCTGGAAGACACCCTGAGGTCTCTATGATAATTTACACAAGTTTACACAAAAAAATGCATAAAAGCGAAATAAATAAAGATGATGAATATTGACAGTTATTGGATTTATAAACCAACCTGTCTAAAGATCAGATCCAGGATCAGTGGATTGTTCAAGTTCTCTTTAGGATAAAAAACCTGTAAATGGAGGACAGACATAAATAAACTGTATTTCTATGTAAATGATTATATTGACGTTGGGGTTTACAGCTCCATTTGTTTGTACTTAGCTAAAAAAAAAACTGAGGTAAAAACATACCTCTTTCCTCATGTAGAGTTTCCACGGGACGTTGGAATAAGTGTAATATTCATCACTGGTTCTGCTGTGGAGCTGAGTCTGAATGATCTCCTCCTCAACTGGCAACTCTCTGGAGACTGGAAGCAAGAACATTCATTTATTTATTTATATCATGAACAATACACACCTGTATCAGTCTAATCTGGAGCTTATTCACAGGTATTTCTACAGTGAAAATTTACCTGGATGAGGGGCGGGGCTTATGTTGGAGCTAGATGGCCCTTGGGGGCGAGGCTTGGCTTTCTGGCTAGTCTTGTGTCCCCTGTCTTCTTTAGATTGGGCGGACGAAGTCTTTCTGTGAGTCTGAGATATGGAAAATGGTTAGATATTGTTTTGCCGTGTGTGTGTGTGTGTGTGTGGTAGGTGTGGAGTTAGGATACCGGTTGTGGTGGGTTTGCCATTTGATCTTTAAGGATCTCCATCGCTTCATCATGAGGGTCTGGCTTCTTTCCAAACAACTTTCCATCACTTCTCCTACACACACCACAGTAGTCAGAACAGATTAAATACCACAGAATATGACAATCATCAATATCTCACATCATCGTGTGTGTGTGTGTGTGTGTGTGTTAACCTTTGCGTGGGAGATCCAGAGGAAGATGTTGTGCCTGCAGGCTGGTGCTGTTTGATAATGTCTTTGATATCATGGCTAGGGTCCAAGTGCTCAGTGTTACTCACAGTGGAGCGGACCACATCCTCGGAAGGGGGGCCACGTGATGGACCTGGAATAAAAAGTTTGATTACACACAAACCCGGTTTGTTCAGGGTTCATCCCTTACCCCTGTAGCCACAGGGGGAAACCCTTAAAGTGATAATCATATACTTATTTAAGGGCAGTTACTCAATTCCACATTTTCAATTATTGCAGTGGGCTTTCCAACCACAAATCACTATCCTGCAATGCATCAATATTTTTATTTCCACTCCTTTTTGATTCAGAGACTAAGGCATCCTGATCCCTGACTGAAATCACTGACGTTTAAACCGCACAGCAAGTGTACCACATACTCGTTTTCCGTTGAACAGCGGCAGCGCTCGGCTTGTGCGGAGACGCCTCACTCTCTTTGGTCTGCAGGAAAAACAACAATAAGTGATACGGCTTCAAGATTATATTTCAGATTTGCATGCATAAAGTGTATTGAACGTTATATCAACACAGCAGCATGTGTGTTTACTCACAGGACTGGCTGTGCGTGAGTGCTGTTGTGAGTGCGCGTGATAGTATGAGGGTGGTGACTGGGGGGCTGGAGCAGCTGGGGGGAAAGAAGACAACATTTGCTGCTGGATTGCTATGGCCTGCATCGTCATCTGCTGGGCCTGCAACACAAACAATCCAACATATATTCAATATTTAGTAAACAACAGTTTATACCTATGTTTAAAACATATTCATCTTTTATGGTTTAACTTAATGTTTAGGTTAACTGTGTCAATTTGTAACTTGATATCATTTGTTTAGGCAAGATAATTGATGTCAGGAGTCAGTAAAGTAATGTGGTACATTTGTAAAGTTGTCAATTTTCACTCAATAAATGAATTAACTGCTTAGATTATCCAAGTATTTTGGTAGTACAGTCTTTAGCTTCATGTGTACTGTGACATACAAATGTGAAAGTGGTACTGGTTGTGGTATCTTTCACTTAAACATAGTTTTAGGGCTAAGAGTGCAGCATTACCTTTTTAGCATTTGACTGCATAAAGACAGTTTCAACATACTTCATTTGCTCGTACAGCCATGTGAAAAAGACTCTGTGCAGTCTAATGTTTCCATAGAAACTGAGAGGGTAAGTAGCAGCAAATCAAATGTAATGGATTAGCTGATCATCAGCAAGTGTGAGCACATCTATAAAATCAGATGTTTTGGCGCTTTGCTGCTCTGGTGCATTCACGAGTTAATTCAATGCCACAATCTCCCCTAGAGTGAACGACCCAGCAAATTCACCCCAAGGTCAGACAGTGCAATACTCAGAGGAACTGCAAAACACCCATGAGCTACATGTAAGCCTCTGCAGCCATCAGTTAGCATGTTAAATATGAAAATTAGGTAAGTTGGAAAGTTGTAAATTTACTGAACAAGTCTAAAAAACAAACAAACAAAAATCTAGATTGTTGTGTCATATTTTTGGTGCAGAAAAAAAAATACAATGTGATGCCTGTCTACATGAGGCAGCTAAAACTTGGCCTAAACTGGGTCATTCAACAGGACATTGATCCCCAGCATAGCAGCACATCTACAACAGAATGGCTGAAAAAGAAAAGAATCAATGTGTTGCAATGGTCCAGTGAAACCTGACTGAAAAGCTGTGATGTGACCTTAAGAGAAAGCATAAACAAACCCCAGTGAACTGAAACAACACTGTAAAAAAGAGTGGGCCAAAATTCCTCCACAACTATGTGACAAACCGGTCACACAGAAAATGATTACTTCAAGTTATTGCTGATAGATGTGATCCTACAAACTACTGAATCATTAGGTGTAAGTGTTGCACAGTCTCTCTTTTACACAGAACTGTATCACCCAGTACGAACAGTGGTTTTAATATCAGAGTTGTTCAGAGAAATGATGTCAGACCAGAATGATGGCTTGCTGGTTGATGATGGCTTGTTGCTGCTGAGTCAGTACAGCTTGCTCCGATCCTGGAGAAGCACAAACATGTAACTGTTATGTTGTTGCTGCACTAAGAGCACAAGAAACAGAATTATCTGTTTAAAACAAACCACACGAATGAACTTTGCAACCCCACATAAAAAAAAAACACAAAAAAACTTGAAACTGGCTTTAATTAAAGAAAAAAGAAAAAAAGGAGTCCATCATGCCCAAACACTTCAGGCCAAACATGCTGGAAAACCTAACGCACATCCTTTTATTCTACCTGGCACACCTGTCATCACAGGCAAGCCTGGAACCACAGGCGTGGCTGGGAGTGAGGGCGCCGCAGGCAGACCCGGGACAACAGACACATTGGAAGCGACATCGGTGTCAACAGCAGGGGTAGCTGCGAGGGCAGCAGCGGGGGTGCGAGTGGGTGATTGCGTGGGTGCTACACGACTAGAAGGAGTGGTGGCAGCAAACGATTGCTGACGGTGGTAGGGGTGTTGGGGTCGGTTGTATTGGTGGTATTGTTGTTGTTGCTGCTGTTGTTGATGTTGCTCGTGATGATGGTGGTGGGAGGGGATTGGCATAGCAGGGATTGGGGGCATCATTCCTCCTGCTACTGGAAGCACTGGCACAGCTTGAGGAGTAGCAGGCAGGGAAAAGGAAGATAGACAGGTCTTAAGTGGCAGTTAGTCCACACATTGTTAGTGACTGGGAAATATTTCACATTTTACGACAAACAAGGTATGATCAAGTTCAGATTCAGAAATAAAATATGTCAGAGTGGTCGTTATTAGCCACACTGATGCCGTGGTTCATAGAACATCAATATTAATGTGTTTATTACTCCCCAACTTTGACCCAGACAAATCCTGCCGAGTGTGTAATGGAAAACCTGTTTCAGCTTTTCTAATCTCTGTGTTCTACGACTGTAACATCCTGTACAGAGAGTACAAAGTGTGTGAGTGTGTGCGTGTGTGAAGATGGGAAGCAACAGGTTCAAATCTAACTGTAAACTCTGTTCAAGGCCATGAGGCACTTTCCGTGTCTTTGTTATCAGGCAGGTGCTGACATGACTACGACAAGAAAAGTCCTTAAAGCTGAGCAAACAACGTCTGTATTCATACAATTTGTATGAAGAAGCTGTTATGTTTTTCTGCTCTGTATCAGTGCTGGTGTGAAGATGTTTGTGCTGTATTTATCGCTTTGAAAAACCGTGTTAATTATGTTGAAAAATAATTTTAATTATAGTTTTCATCAACAACCTTGTTTTTTCGAATGAGAACAATAACTTAATAAAAACGTATGCAGCACGACAAAAGCTATGATAAAATGTATTGATGCATTCAACAAATAAAAAACAAGATGAAAACATTCTGGAGAGACGAGATCCAATCAGAACTAATTAAGTTGTACAGAAAAGCGAGTTTGGAAGTGATCCAAGGAGAACTAATCTTGTGCTGTGAGGTTGGACACGCACGTCTGAGCCGCCCCAGGGAAACTACAACCAGCTCCCATGCTCCCTGATTCTCATGAAAACACGACAAAATGTCAACGCTTGGCAGGAAGAGAAGAGTAGACACATGTACACATTTTACATTTGATGTCAAGGAAAATAAGACACTTTGTAAATCGTGTTGAGCAAATCTCATCAGTGAAAACACAACCAACTTCCCCAATTTGCTGGGCAGCTTTTGACTTCATCATGACATATTTAGTCGACTAAAACTAAATGACATTATAGTCAAGTATGTGACTACAAATTAACACTATTGCAAAGGGTCTTTCTACAAATCTCAGAAATTAGTTTCATGTCAATGCTCGGTTTATTTTTCAGCTTTACGCTGGAACCATCGTAAAATTAACATTTTTACTATTGAGTAGTAAAGTAGTAGTAACTGTTAGAGCACATCAGTGGAATGATATTACTGGCCAATATCAGCTATTTGTCACACTTATAACATAACGGCTGACAAATGAGAATGTAACAAAAAAGTAAAGACAGGTGAAACATGCTTTAATCGTGTCCTGGGAGTTGACGTTGTTTAGGTCGTCCAGCAGAGGGCAACACACATGTTTGAAACACCACAAGCATAACAACCAGTTTATCCAATCAGACTCAGGAAATATGCAAGGAAGTAAATAAGCAAGCGCTAGGGAAATCTGTTTGTTTCATGTGTCTGAAAGGGAGGAAAAAAAGCATTGGTGATATATCAAGATATCAGATTTTTAAATCACCAAATATTGTTATCAGTGTTGGTCTTAAACGTCCAATATTTCTCTACGGTATATGCTGTTTGATACTGTATGGTTTCCCCTTTTTAGATTTGCATTTTGAACACATGTCAGGTCAAAATCTCAATTTGTCCAATACCCTGCTTTAGAAGTAAAGCAAAATGCTTGCTGATGATAAACATCAAACCAGTATAACATCAGCATGTTGGCACTGTCACTATGTGAGTTTTGCTCAGTGCCGTAAGCCTGGCATCAGTACATTAGAGGGGAAAAAAGAGGAAACTGTGAAGGTAAAATAATAAATAAAAAGTCTGGAATTTTACAGTCGAGCACACAAGAGCCAGTAAAAATAATACCAGGTACTTAACATTACTAGATGTGTAGAAAGTGATCAATTTGTAATGACTGGTGTTTAAGAGAAATAACAGTCACCTGTTAGAGTGAATGGCTTTTAATGTATTGTCTATGAGGACAGTCAATACAGCCAACTGCTCAAAGTTAAACTTTTAAAGTTCAGGTCTGTTCATTGCCTTTAAGATACCAATAAAGAAATACTCTGTCTGCCTGTTAGTTGATTACTATGGGAATGAAAGTAGGTTGATAATAAAGCATCACCAAAACATTTTAAATGCGTTATTATTAATTTATTGAGGAGGAGCTTACAAAGGAGAAACAAAGGGAAACTCTATTAGCCTGAGACAAACGCCAATGATTTAGGAGCGCTTAGGTTAAGCTGAATTATTAATGTCAGTGCAGAGAGAGTGAGCTGTGAGGACAAAAGAAATGTCTGAAAATGAAAAGTCCAGCAAAATATTCACAGACAAAAAGGGAGAAAGGTGCCACTAATTCTGGAAACAGCAATATCTGCTTAGACACAAAATACAGGCTGCAAAAAAACAGAAGTCCAGAGACAAACATATGGCCAATCAGCACTGACACACATAACAACAAACACACACAGCACTCAGTGTTTACCTCCAGGATGTATTCCTGGTGGATAAGGCCGGCTGGAAGCTGGACGACTCTCTGCCTCTTCCCTTCCTTCTCCTGTGATGCCTATACCTCCTCCTCCCTTCATCCTTTCTGACAAACTTCCACTCTTCTCCATGTCCTGGTGAGCAAAGAGCAGCAGGAGACTCAGCAGAAGGAAAGGGATGCTTATAGTTGAGAAACTGGAGTTTAAGGGGCATGAAGTGGAAAAAGAAAAGGTGTCAGAAGCAGGGAAGGAGAGGGACTAAGACAACAAGCAAGAGAGAGTGAACTGGATTGGTTGATTTAGACCCTCTCTGAGCCAGAGCTGCAGGAACAGTATACGCTCCAGGAAGTACCGTACACGCAGGAGGAGAGGCTCCAGCATAAAGACACACTAAATGGACTACAACAAAATTCACCACTACATAACAGACCTCATTCTCCTGAGCTGACTGAAATTCTCAGCTACTTTGTTTCCAGTGTCAGATGATTTTAAAGCCAAAACCGCTCAAGAAAATCTAAACGGGTCTATCAAGACTTCTGCCAAACACAGATATTATGTTTTTATTTTAACTATTGCCATTGATATATACCACTCAAAGCCCTAAAACATTCCTGATGCAACCTTTCCTGTGCAACCCGAGTAATGAGGACGCTGAACTCGTTTTGTTTCCACTAATAAACAAAAGATGAAGCTATGAGCGGAATCTTTTCCCCACACGGTGACTCGTTTATGCTGACTGCTGCTGCGGTCATATACGGTAGGTCACTCGGTAACCTAATCAGCCGTCCCGTGTGCTCCATTCATACCCAAACACAAGCCGAGGATCACATGCTCAATTCCTCCATCAGCACTCTTCTGTTCACACTCAGATGACAGATCAATGACACAGAGCTACAACTATCCACCTGTATTATTACTTTTCCTTTAGGTTGGCAATTAACTGATTGGTCTTATAATATAATTAATATAACTGAACAAAGAAGTAATAAGCTTTGAGTTGCAGTGGCAGGAAAGCACTTGCAGCTCTACATAGACACATTTATAGTGAAAAGTCTTTGTCAAAATGAAAGCAGTGGTAATGCAGTAATGTGGTCATCTGTCGAGTATTTCACCTGGTAGATGACTTAAAAGATTATACCAAGCAATCATTTATTACTATTTTGCGTGTTAGTTTCATAGCACTACAGCAATTTTAAAAACGAAAAGGAAATAGTTGGTTGACATGTGTAGTTTATGAGAAATCAGGACGAGCACTCACCGTGCTGCTGTCCGACAGCACAGGGTCAAACAGGCTGTCCAGGTAGCGGTCCATCCCTCTCTGAGGCTGACCCTCGCTGAATGTTTCTGACTCTGAACACAGACAAACAGCAATAATGCTTTAAACATTGTATTTTCAGTGTTTTTAGTGCACAGAAACTGTCATGTTTTTGATTTGATTCAAATGCAAAAATCTTAAAGTCTGTTTGATATTTTGATATTGATATTTTTCTTTTAATCAAGCATGTTTTATCAGGTGATCAGGTTTACTTTAACTGTAGAGAAAAGGTTGTTAGTCACTGCTCAAAATGTCTTATTCTCAAAAATGTAACCTAAGTCAGTTCATTGTTTTTTCACGGTTTTGATTGTCACATTTGTTGCAGAAACCTTGATTAATTGATCCAGCTTTTTATCTATGTCTCTCTCTCTCTTCGGACAACACACAGGAAACTGTTTCAAGATCACAAGACTTTCAAACTTTCCCAACTCTTCCATTTTTGTTGCCAAAGTGCAGCTGTGTGACAGGCAGGACATGGACCCACATCCACAACAGCATGTAAACTCAAACGGCAGCTGTAGTGCTGAATGCTTTCAAATAATACAAAGACACAAAACAAAAGCACAGCGAAGCAAAGAGCCCAAAACTAGGAAACGTAGGGGAAACACTGAACAAAGGAACCACACAACCTGGATGATGCGACAAGGAACAGATGGAGACTCACACAATACAAACACACCAGATAATGTGGGAAACGAAGACAATAACCTAATGAAAACCCAAACACAAGACACAGAAAAACAAGTGCTTGCAAAATGAACCAGGAAGTAACTAATTAGAGTTAGAAACATACAACACAGTGGTGAGGACTAGAAAATCCAAAACTAACAGCATACATCATAACCAAAACTCTAATAAACAAAACTACTCACATACAGAAACTTGTACAAACAATTATTCAACTGCTTTAATTTAAGAGACATTCCGGTCATGTGATTAAAATTATTCAAATTAAAGCTTTAATACAACTTAATAAGCTTAATGGCTGCACTAAGGATTAATCTTCTCCAAAAAAGGTTATCATCAACAAATACATTACTTTGTTGGGCACCTTTTAACTCTTAAAATCTACAATAAGACATTCCAGTAATTTCCTAATAAGAAGCCAAAAGCATCCAGCTCAGTTATGAATCCACTGCTTTCTTTAAGTCCCATCAAAGAACATCAGAGGGATTGGCTGTCATGATGGTCAAATAGGGCCTGCTCTTCCTACACCACACACGTAGCCCATCCAGAGGTCAATACAGGTCCACTTTATCTCATCAGTCCATAAACAGACTCACAGCACCCTGCAGGCCTATCCATGTGTTTTCTTGCATATCAAAAATGCAGTGGCAAATATGCAAGGATCAAGCTTGCTTCCTTAGTGTTCCTCTTATAGTCTGTGTACTCAAACTAGCACAAGTTTTAAATTTGCATATAATCCTGCTAACTGTATCTCTTGGAACCAGAGTGAGTTGGAAACCTAAAACCTCTGATTTCACAACTCAAAAAAACTATTTTCTGAGTGCCATCCTTGGTACTCAGCTTTAAACATCTGGACAGGTGGGATTCATCTATAACACAGCTGAAGCATTTGTTAAACATAAAGAGCATAAATATTTTGGGTTCAGCAGTTTGGGAGTGATACACGCTAGTAAGTAGTTACAAACAACAGCCGATGGGGGCTTCAATTCACAGAAACACTAGTTTGTACATTTGATCAGATCATTTGAAAATCTTTAATTTGCAAGTGCTTAAAAATTCAGTTACAATACACAATACACAATATTTATATGTATTTATGTGTGTGTGTGTGTGCGCGTGTGTGTGTACCGTGGCTGTAGTAACCATCTGAATCAGGCAGGCTGTAGGCTGGTCTGCTGCTGCTGAGAGGAAGGGAGGAAGGAAGCTCCTCATCTGAGTCAAAGCCACTGCCAAACAAAGCACTGAGAGATGAGAGGAGAGAGGAGTAATGTGCCACGTGGTGTAGCTTTAGTCACGTGAGTAATGAACTGCATGTGTGCATCTTGCATACTGACAGGCTGGCATTAGCTCTGACTTTAGCTGGGTTGTCAGCGCTGATGATGAAGTAACTCTTCTGCTTTGGGAAGTCCATAGGAAGCTCCATATCTGCAATCAGGTCCATGACATAGTCATGACCAGCTAACTCCACCCACTGACCCTGCTCCTTCATCAGAATTGAACTCCCCCTCCACCAGTCAGACACTCCCCTGCAAGATGCATGATTTAGATGTTCAAAATATCTATACACACGTGTTAAAACTGCTCTCTAAACATTATCATGGCATGTTCAGATGTTTACACGTTTAAACGTTATGGAGCTAAAAATACAAAACCAAACCTGTGACGCAGAATGTTTCCTGCTAAATCCTCTCCACTGGTCCAGGAATGGACAGGACACAGGAAGGACCCTCCTGCAGGGAGACATAAATGAATAAACAAGCAACAAATAGTTCCTTTGCTGCTTTAAATTACACTCATTAACTAACAAACTGTGTTAATTGCGCAATACAAAGCACATGAGCCCCACAGTCACATCACCTGATCCTGAATGACAATGAATAATCAATGATCTGGGGATGTAATTGATCCTACACAATAAAAGCAATGCCAGGTTGTCCCTCTTTCTTTCTCGGAGGTGTGTGCCAGTTTAGACCCCGGGTGTGAAAGACTCCCTAAATATTTGAACAGCTCTTGGTTTTTTTCTGTGCACCTCAAAAGAAAGATACTGATTTTAAAGGAAAATGTTGTGAATTTTTTATTTACTTTGCTTGAATCGTTTGGAGTTCTTGGAAAAGAGCAAAGAAGCAGACCGATGAAAAGTTGAACAACGCAACATTAAGCAGGTGAGATATTACCATCAAAACAGTGCACGTGCAACACCATGTTAGCCTTCTTCCTATTGGCGGTCCACTCAAGCAGCGACAGCGGATACGTCCGCGCAGTCTCGGGGGCGGAGCCTGATCCCAGCTGCATCTTCTGATTCGCTTGGATGAGTCTGTGCTGCAGCAGCACCTGCCAGCCAGCAGGAGCGTGGTCCGACACGAACCTGGAGCAGAGGTGAAATGAGGTTCAAGAGTGGAGTAGAAGTCTCTTACTTACAGCATATAGCTTCTTAACATATATTTTTTACCTCTCAAACTATTTGCTAAATAATTAGTTGTGAGGTCATTTTATGATTTCTCACTTGAGCAGATATTTGTCCATCTTGGCCGATGAGGCGAAGCAGCAGACACATGCCAGCAGCAGCAGCCAGCCTCTCTCTGCATTCTCAGAGTTTAGGTTCCTCCACACCTGGTTGACAACCTGAGCCAGGATCTCATCTCGTAACCCTGGAGACGACAAGCCTCTCTGGACAATGTAATTCCCAAACATGTTTTCCTGCGCCCCATTCAGATGAGGGTCCCCCATAAACCGTAATACCTGAAGAAAACAGAATCCAGGTGAAAGCTGTAACAACTAACTCTGTCGGTTTTACAGATTTATGGCAGTCTGGTGACGTATTTGTGTGTTTTTGTAGGTTTGTCCTACGAACACGAGAAAATAGAAGAGACTTCTTTATTCTGCTGTTAAATCTTTTACAGTGTAAAAAATCATGTTCCAAATTTCTTATTTGCTTCCCAGTTAGTAGCAAAACCTAGTAATTAGAGGATGGTTTGCTTCTGTGTAACAAGAGTAACATAATGACATGATGCAAGTGTGTCTCTGTGAAACTGTTATCATTTTAAATTACTGCAGGGCTCAAGAATATTCAGGGTAAATGGGCAACAAAAACTGATGTTTTATGATGCTTTTATTACAACCTGTTAGTTATGACGTCATAGGGCGTTGCATTAAAAAAGTGTATGACACTTGATATGATTTATTGAAGTTTGTTTTCAAGGTTAAATTTGACCTTCGGCACTAACAATGAAGATTAAGGTCAAATACTTAGCTAACTTACGTACTCATTTCCCCAAGACCTGCTATACTGTTGAGAGGTTTGAAGACAATCCATAAAAACTGGGTAATATGAAGGTTTTTACTGATTTTCACATTTGACCTTGACCTTGGGGCAATTTCCACCCAACTGAAATCAGCTCGAGCTCTTCGATGTTTCAAAACTGTGCACGACGGACAGACAAACAACCAAAAAGAACAGTTTATATAGTCTCTCCCTTTTAAGGGGAGAACAAAGATCAGTCTACCATGTTGAAAAGCTCCAGAGCCTCCCCTCTCAGGTCGTCCTCCACACGGGTCAGAGGTGACTCCAGAGGAGCCATCAACATCCCGAACTTTGGCTCCTACAGCAACAAAAGATTTGCTGTGTTTAATAAACAGCTTTTCAAACAAATCTACCTAAAACCTTTCAAAATGATGTTATAACCGATAAATCTAAACACAAACTTCAACAGCTGTCCTCAAATCTGAGTAACCACGCACATACACAGTATGTTACACACACATGCTGATGCACGCGCATCTCACCCTGAAGTAAATCTGAACATAGCGGAAGAAAGGGTAGTTGTTGATGTCCAGAGGCAACGTGAGTTCAGCATCATCCTGGATATGAGGAGCCTGAAGCAGAGCCAAGCAGTCTGAGTGCAACTCCCTCCGGACTGAAGAGAGTAACAGACAAGGTTAAACGAGGAGTCAGCCGGGAGTAATGCAAGAACCAAAAACTTACATGTATAAAATCCTAAAACTTTTTTACATTCCATGACAATTTTTCAGTGTCTGGTTTATTTATTAGGTGATGGGCCTCCTGCTCCACCCTGTCAGAACTGTTCATATCATTTCTTAATTTGATACTGTCAGTCCTGATGAGATAAGACACATTCAAACAGCTGACTGGAGCACTCACACACACATGAATAATCTATGTGCATGTGATGCACACTGACGGGAAAGACGGACAGACGTCTACACACCTCCTGCTGTCTGCAGCAAAGCGCCCAGCTCTGCAGGGATCACCAAGTGGGTCACATTAACCACCTCCCTTTTGGTCAGCTCCTGAAAGAAACACCACTTTTAATCTATCTGCAAACTAACAATGAGGTTAGAAGAGATCTAACATAGGCTGCTGGTTTGAACTCATGCCAGTGTGCAAAAACAAAAACACGGATGCTTTTCCCATTGAAGTCTTGTCTTAGCTAGTCCTTCATCTTACCATCTCTCTCCTCCTCCTCTCCTCTTCTGCTTTCCTCCTGGCTTCAAACTTCATCTTCAATGAGATCCCAAAAACACACGGTCAGTGTTTTAATGTAAATCCAGAGCAGAAAGACTCAAAAGCACAAAGCAGGATTATGGGTGGGTCATATTTGAAATTATTTTCTTAGAAATGAAGAAAATATGAAGATGTTTGAAAGGACACTGCATCAAATACATGTGTTACTTAAAAACAAATCACAGGCAGAAGGTATAAACATCAGTCCAACAAACCACAGTATCTCAGTGTACCTTAATGTACTGCTTCCGGTTGACATACATGTGGACCAGAGAGCGGAAACGGACCAGACTTTCCCTCATTTTCACATAGCGTTTCCTAGAAAATGAAGAGAATCTCAGTACAATGAATCCTAACGCACTGATTGTTGATCTCGTTTCCTAACATTTGCCACATTCACAGAGGTAAACTTCACAAGCATGCTACAAGCTCAAGCACAACAGCTCACTGAAAGCTTTATTTCTTAATTATAGTGATTTTAATGTAACGTTACCCTAAAGACACAATTTACATTTTCTTTACCTCACTGCCCTTTTAACCTTAACTATGTGGTTGAGCACATATTGGAATTCAGAATCATTACATTGAAAGAATGCAGGACTCCAATCAGAATCTGAATTTGCATTTTTTTTTGTAATAAAATCTACTGAAAATGTAAGATCTCTGTGGGACACCTCACCTAACGAGGAAGCCTAGGCAGTGTGCCTGAAACCTGCTGATTTTGTTGCGGAATTCAACGTAGCGTTTCCTGACGAAGAACATGCGAGTGTAACGCTGCAGGGTGAGGGCGGCAAGATGACGAGAGCGCTCTCGCTTACACTCCAGCAGCTGGTAGATGTCCTCCTTTAGGAACAACTGCCATTCATGCAAACACATATAAGTTTATTATTTATTATTATTCAGATACATGTGTGAGTTCATGCAAAAAAAAAAAAAAAGATATAACATTGATCCAACAAACCATAGTATCTCAAATTTCAAGCTGCAAAGCAGGAAAACAATCTCTACTCAGCCATTAGACCAGCAGTTGGTGCTGGGTCTGTCTTTAACTGTGAGACTTAATGTGAACAAGCTCACCTTTGTGACTCCAACATGGTAGGCTCCTGGTCGGAGAGGACACAGTTTACCGAGCAACAACACACAGTTCTCTCCATTTGCCACAGGAAGTGTCTGTATCCCCGCCAGGGACTTGTACCTGACAGAGACACACATTCAAATTAGGGGTGCTCAGTCGATAATAGTGGTTTTTAAAAAAGAAGTACTGATATAAATCGATACTGACTGTGTCGCAATTCAGACACGCAACATGGACAGAGGTATTGGGTCACGATCAGCTGCTAAACTGTTGTTTAACAGTTGCATTGTTTAGGAGCCAAAGTAGCTCAGACCATGCAAAGTTACAGAGCAGGGTCGCCAGCTTACACCAAAGCTCTTGGAGTACTGGCAGCTTCACTTCATGGCTCTCCATAGCTGAAGGCCATGCTTTAAGCATTAGATCACCAGACACAATGCCAAGTGCTAGGCGGAGTAAATCATGCCACCACTGAACTCTGAAGCAGTGGAAACTTGTTCTGTGGCATAACAAATCGCATTCCTCTATCAGGCAGTCTGATGGATGAGTCTGGGTTTGAACACCAAACTGCATTGTGCCAACTGTAAAATTTGGTGGAGGAAGGAAAACGCATTATGGACGCATTAACAGACACATTATGAATGGCTGTGGATTTATAATGGGATGTAATAAAGGCTACTGTAGGTGTAATGTGTACGTGTCCTTATAGTCAATGTAGTGTATATTGTGTGAAATGTGTAATTATTCTTTTTGTGTGCTTTTATACATATGGTTACAGAATCTTCCATAGTTCAGTTTTTTGCCAAATAAGACAACACCATAAACAAAGTTACAGATGAATTAAAATTTTAAACTCCTAATTCACTTGTAGGTAAACAAACATAAATTAATGGGTTTCATATATATAAATGTACAGGTATAGAACTTTAGCCTGATATAGTCCTTATTTATTATTAATTTCAGTTATTTGCATCTGCATTCATTTTTATTTGGTGGCATGGCTTTGTACTGGGAGGGCAGCAGCAAGACCCCACCAAAGAGCAGCGCAATGACAGCAGCTATGACACTGATTAAGTCAGACAAAGCATGAGAAGAAGAAAATTAGTTAAAATTGGGTTGCAAAGTGACTTGCAGAGGCACGTGCAACTGTGGACCGGTTGAAGTAGCTTAAATAAGGCACGACATATGATATTTGCAAATCAGAAGAACATCAGCTATGAGTTGCCACTTCGCGGTCTGCTCAGTTATTGCTGGGATTTCCTGTTATAGAAGGTTCTCCTCTGCCTCAGCTGTGAGATCAATTATCTTCATTTTTTTGGGAAAACAAACTCCTGAACAGCTTCACAAACTCAACAAATACGCTGAGGATCAGAGTTCATGTTACCTGAACAGGAAGACATAGAATGGCATTCTGATTGGATATCCCTCTTTGCGGATCCTAATGGTCTCCATGACACCAGAGTGCCGCAGCTGGCTGTTCACCAGCTCGTCCTCAAACACACCTGGTTGCTAAAGACAGGTGTCCAAAAGCTCAGAAACACTGATGTATGTGCAGGTAAATAACTTTAAATACATGACGCTTCAAGATCTACCTTCATGTTATTTGGCTTAATGCAGCGAACGAAATAAGGATTGCACCTGAAATGGAACAACAAAAACATGATAATTTTTTTTAATGAAAACAATAAAAAACATTCATGATCCGAGAGAGAACATGTGTACTTCACCTCTCCATCTTCTCCACCAGCTCCAGCAGGGACTGTTGAAACTTGCTGCTGACGGTGGGAGCTTGGTATTTTCTGGTGACTGTGCTGCTCTTCCTTATGTGACCTCTCTGCTGACCCGTGGCCTCTGCATGAACCAGGAAGAGGTTCGATACCATCTGGAAACACACAAATGCACAGATTAATACAGACTGTACAAAAACATTGCTTAGCGATTATGTCGATTAGATTAAGTTTTAAGACCAAGCCGACCTTGTTCTTGCTCTGAATGAACAGGTCCAGGACATCCTGACGCACCTGATCGTAGTTCTTATCCAGGAATTTGTAAACCTGCATCAGTGACAGATGATCACTCTGTTTGTCGTTACAGTTCACCACATTTTCAATACTTCAATGAATTATAATACAATGGAACTAGCCAAGAGAATCTCAGTGAGGAGCTTAGTACCTGGTAAGTGACCCGCCCGGCAAAATGCTTAATTGTGAACTCTGGGACCGGCATCTTTGGCTTCATGTACAGTGGATTACTGCCATGGTGATAGTGACACTTTTGAAGAAAAGTGTTGTCTGTTGCCTGGCAACAAATTACCACACCAAAAGTCCCAGTTTTATAATCCATATAAGGAATCTGAAAGTCTGTCAGTACTTCCTCCTCATCCTCACCTGCGGGAAACCGCTCTGGTCATCCAGAATCCTCAGTATCCCATGAGGCTTAGCGGCAATGAGGTCGATGCAGGGCTGGTTGTCGTTGAATGTGATGTCCTGCCATGGGATCTGCTCCCTGCTGTACTCCTCCTGCAAGAGGATCACA